AAAACCCCTCAGTGACCACATTGTTGACTTGAAATTTTTTCCCATCTGTATTCATCTGTTTGGCTTTTTATGTAAACACAATCACAAAATATGTGGGCTTTTCTGTCTGGCACCCTTCATAAAATTTTTCAGGGTTAATCCATGTTGTAATCATTATTGGTACTTCATTCCTTTATATAGCTGAGTACTCTCCCATTGTATGGATAGGATTGTGTACATTTCATTTATATCTTAACCAATTAATGAGCATTTGGGTTGCTTCTACTTTTGAGCTGTTATAAATAATGCTGCAATGAACATTTGAGTGCAAGTTTTTATACAAACATGTTTTCAGTTCTCTTGGGCATATAGCTAGAAATGAAATCTTCGAACTATTTTGTGAAGTAGCTTCATATTTATATTCCCACAGCAATGTGTGATGTTTCTATTCTCTCTACCTCCTCACCAACACTTGACATTGTAATAACTTCTTGATTATAGCTATCCTAGTTGGGGGGTGAAGTTGTATCTCAGGTGGTTTTGATTTGCATTTCTCTAAGGACTAAGAATGTCAACCATCTTCTTTATGTGCTTATCGGTTGTTTGAAACATATATTCAAATTATTTGACCATTTTGTAATTGGGTTATTTCTCTATAGAGTGTTCAGCTATAAGAGTTCTCGTATTCGACAGGGTGATGTTGCTAGGCACCAATGAAATGATAAATCCAAACAGCATGGACTCTGAAATTACATGGTTGTACTCAATTATAAGGTGGTCATCTACGAGATCCAGAATCAAATTTGCTTATATGAAAACATTTAAGATTACCATTTTTAAAAATTACGGATTTTAAGTGTTAAATAGAGAACTCTAATATCCTCAAGAATATCTACAATTTAAATACCTTTTTATGCATGGACTGAATCTCCACTAATAGGCAGACGAGGTTAGTGCTGTGTGAGGAAAAGAGATTTACTAGTGTTTGAAAATGTAAACATCAGTATAAGAAGGCATGCAATGATACAACCCCATGAATATATTTTTACATTTACAAAGAGGTATGTCTGACTATCAGAAAAGCTCTGTAAAAGCGGCTACCAATATCTATGAATCATGCACAAGGCATATGAGTCAAGTTGACTGACTCCATATTTTCTTGCATACTTCTAAACTATGCAGAAATTCAGAGTCCTGCAACCCTGGTGGGTTTTTTCTTTTTTTATGCTTGAAAGTTTTCCCTTCCTATAGGAATACCCCCCCAAATGGCCAACTTTACACTGGGGCTCCATGCAAATATTGTCTCCTCTTTCTAAAATCGTTTCTAAGCCCACTTGACTATTCCAGATTGAGAACCTATGCTTCTATTTTGACTTTTCAGAGCATCATTATAATTTAAGATAAATTTGTTTAATTGCTTTAAATTTGTTTTCAATTTATCTTAAAAATTTAAGATAAATTTTTTAAATCACAAAATTAGTTTAGGAGAATCCACAGAGAAGAGGCACATCAGGAGGGAAATAATTTTACCCTTTAGGGATTTATGACCAAAGCTCCCCAAATTCCTCCAGACATTTTTGCTATTTCCTATGGGTAAATTTAAATTACACACATTTTAAAGTTTTCTTAATCTTCTAAAACAAATACAAATTATAAAATTCAGTGCTAATGAATACTTAATTTAAAAGTATATCCATATTTTTCATAACAATTTTCAATTGTTATGGAAATATGGGATATGTATCTAGAAATATATAGTTTCTTTTAATTTAGTAAACCCATATTTCAAAACATATCCCAAGGAAATATGCTCTTTGCTTACCACTCCAAAGAGTAACTTGTTTGAAGAGGTTAAAGCAGTGTTGTTACCTACAATAGTCAAAGAATCAGAAAATGTATTTTCCTGAAGTTTAGAGTTAAGAAAATTATTCTATACCAATATTATGAACTACAGTTATTAAGAGAATTATAAAAATTTGAGCTATGTTGGCAATTGGAAATATATTCATGAAATTTTTTCATGAAAAAAATTTTTTCATGAAATAGATTCACAAATTTTTCTTTTTTTTTGAGACAGAGTCTCACTTTTTTGCCCTTGGTAGAGTGCAGTGGAGTCACAGCTCACAGCAACCTCCAACTCCTGGGCTTAGGCGATTCTTCTGCCTCAGCCTCCCAAGTAGCTGGGATTACAGGCGTCTGCCACAATGCCCGGCTATTTTTTGTTGCAGCTTGGCGGGGGCTGGGTTTGAACCCGTCACCCTCGGTATATGGGGCTGGAGCTCTACTCACTGAGCCACAGGTGCCTCCCTGAAACAATTTTTTAAAAGATGGGGTCCCATTATGTTCCCCAGGCTGGTCCCAAATTCCACTGCACCCGGCCAGAAACAATGTTGATTAGAAAATATCTGTTTTGTATAGAAGTAGATCATGCATTTTAGTAGATTTATAAATGTTTTATATTATATTTCTTCAAATACAATCTATTTCAAACAGATTATATTTATATGTCTAAATCTATTGAACTATATGTATGTACATTGACAATAAATATAAGATTATATCCTCAGGATATTATAGAGTTGTTTGGTTTCAAAAAAGTAGCATTTCACAAAATTCATTGTTTATTATAAGCATGGCTCACAAACAAAAGTTCAGTGCTCAAAGCAAATATAGGGTTGTTTTAGAAACAGGTTAAGTAGATTATCTTTACTGTAGTAATTCTGAGTCTTTAATTTATCAGTATGCATTATGAATCTCTAAAATGAAAAGATTTGTTATTTATCTCAAAGTCTACTGTTTTGTCATGATTACACTTATTTCACTTGTTTAATAAGTTTGTATAAATCTTATTTGGACGTGTTTACTAATGTACCTTCCCCATCAAACTATAAATTCTATCAGAACAGGTAACTCTGTCTTCTTCATCAGCGTTCTCAGAGTTTCAGCCAAGGCATATAGCAGGGACTTGATAAATATTTTTGTAGTGAATGAATTGCCAGAGGAGCATCTGGGCAAACCAGTACTTGAAATTGCACATTTGGGGAACTACCCCTCTAAAGTTATTCCATTGTATAATAATTCCAAAGAAAAAATTATGTTAACACCTCTAGGCCACTAGAGATCCGTTTAATAAATTATTGCTATGCTTCAGTGGAATCAATTACTACTTCAGGGAATGGAAGAGATTTATCAGAGAGCATCATGACCTGGAAAAGTCTTGCAAAATCATCTTTATTATCTGGAATCCTAACTGAAAAACAATGGTAAAAATTATAGTTACCAAGGAATGACCTGAAAGGAGTCAGACTTCACATCAACACCAACAATCTTCTGGAACACATTTAGGGACACTGGATTTTCCATTAAGGATATTTGCTTATTTTAATAGATCAAGTATGAAAAACAGATATTCTGACTGGAAACTGCAAATTGTTGACTCATTGATTCCCTTTTAGGATAAGGGATTCCACATAATACTTTATTTTCTGAATAGTCGGAGCCCATGTTAAGACAACTTTTAAAATTTTTTTAAAAGACAGTTTACCTACATGTTTTATACAAAAATGTACGGTTTTGGAACATAAAATAAAGCATTTTTACCTGCTAAGATTCATGAATTTCCTCCATAAGTTCTCCAAAACAAGTCCTAGAGGGGGAAAAAAATGCCCTGCTAATGTCTTTAAGAGTTGTGTTGAAGCAAAATCAAAATTGATACGAAATGTAACGTCTTTTTTCCAGGTAACAGGATGGAAAGTATTTTACCAGTTATCAATGCCGCCACACCCTGACACCACTAAACGCTTAGCTTATTACTAAATTGTAAACCTTCATAATACTTGGCGATAGGGGAGAGGTTATATTTCAAGTCAAACAAAGGATGTATTTCCAAAACAGCATTCGCAAAGGTTAATCTGCGCATGGCCTACAGAGGGGAAAGGGCAGTGCCCCAAAGATCGATCCAAGACCCCCTCTTGGTTTCTTCCTAGTTAATAAACCACTGGGAGAGATAATTTTTAAACTTAATTTGCTGAAATGGGAATTACTAACGTATGAAAAAAAAATTCCCAAATTTGAGAATTTTGGTAAATTGACTTTATACTGGAGAATAAAGAGCTCTTGCTTCTTTAACTAACATCTTCTACTAAAAAAAAAAAAAAAAAAGATACTTGACTATTTGGTAATCTACAGGGAGAAAATTGACAGAATCCCAGGGCCAAAGTTGCCCTTCAACTCAGAGATTCCCCGAAACACCGCGGCCCAGGAGCTAAGTGGCTTTCCGGGGAACACGGGTATCCTGGCTCCTGGCCTAACCTGCATTTCCCCAAACCCAAAGCTCGCGCGGCACCAGCTAGATTGAAGGTCAAAGTCAACAGATTAACCTGTGCAGTTCACGGGCTGTGAGGGTCCTCCTATCCCTGAGAGTTTTTAAAATGTGGTTTATGAAAGGGCATTTCTAAGTATTTTATTCTAAGGACAACGTCCAGCGAAAAGACGGTTTGGGTGGGTAAAGAAGAGAAAAAGAATACACACAGATGGGGGAAAGCGCTGTTTATTGGAGGCTTGCCGAAAACTAAGTGGGGAAGTGGGGACGGGTGCGCGCGGCGTCGTAGTGGGGGAAACGAGTGATAAAGCAGTATCTAGAGCTGAAAGGCAACCACACCTCACGGAAGAAATGGAGTAGAGAAGTGGGCTTGACGATTCCACAGCTGCTTCAGAGGGGATCGCCGGGGGACCACGGGGAAGCCCCGCAGGGGGGCGCACGCCAAGGTCTGACACTTCGCGGCTCCAGCACAGGGAGGCGCAGAGCTGCGGAGCCGAGTGGCCGGGTCCCCCGGTGCACTCACCGCTTTCTCCCGCTCGGGGCTCTTCGTCCTCCCCGGGTCTCCCCACCTCCGACCCCCACGCTCTCCCCGGCTCCACTCGGCGCCGGCACCCCGGGCCCTGCGCGCTCCGCGCGGCGCGTCACTGCGCGGCCGGCCTCCGCGCGCCTCCCTCCTCCCTCCTCTCCCGCTCTGCGCGATCCGGCCGGGGGAGGCGGGGAAGCCGCCGGAGCGCGACCGCCACGGCAGCCACCCTGCCGCCGCCAGTCGGAGGTGCAGTCCGTAGGCCCCGGAGCCCAGGCGGGCCCTTGGGGAGTCGGCGCCGCTCCGAGGAGCTGTGAGGCTCGCCCATGCCGGGACCTGAGGGCGCGGTAGGCGCAGAGGTGAGCGGATCCGGGAACCGCGCTAGAGGAGGGGGCGGAGGCGGCGGAGTTGAGGGTCGAGATGCGGTGGGCGCTGCGCTCTGCGTCCGATCTCGCCGGATTCCGCGCCCTCTGCGGGCGTCCGCCCCGAGCCCACCGGGACCCTGATGTGGCACCTTGAGGTGGGGAACGGTGCAGAAGGGTGTCCGTTCCTCTGATTCCTCCCCCTACCTCTCTCGGGCTTCCCTGAGCAATGGGAAGTCCTGAGGTTGGGCACAGGAGAAAGCAGGCCAGGCGAGACGTCGTCCCAGGTAGGACGCGCCCCACAGGCAAAGGACAGGCAGGTTACTTGTACCCTCCCTGGCAGTCTACCTGCCACTTTGGATTGCCACAAAGCATTTCCTTGGAGATCATGCTGTGCCGCTTTGAGATTGTTTCTAGTAGTCATTTTGCTTATTACCCAGTAAAGTGATCGTGGTGTGTTTAGGCCATTTTGTGCTGGGAAGTAATTGGCCTCTTCTTTGAGTGTCCTAAATTATCTTTAAGCCCGGTGTTCAGCCTCAGCCAAAACTTGTTGAAAAATATGCCCTAAAAATCTTGCTTTGAAAATAGAGCAGAGAGATAAAGAGAATTTTTGTTGGGAGGTTTCCATTTATTATCTTCCCCACCCCGTGGAGAAGGATTGGTGTCAGTTTTTACTCCTCAGGCAGTAGTTTTTTAGATGGAATAACTTATTCCAGGCCGTGGTTAATTATTGTTCTTCACTACGGGAAAAATAGAATTCAGACTCCTCCTTCCACCCACCTATCTCCACCCCCATCCCAGGACTTAGATTCTAGTCCTGTTAACAGACCCACTGTTTGGAACCTTTTCCATCCTCTCTTTTTTTCCCTTTATTATTTCTTCATGTGTATTAATCTGTGTATTTTTTCTTTCTTTAATGCGTGTGCTTTCCCTTTCTGTATTTATATACATATATATATGTATTTTTTACTTTTTACTTTGCATCTCTCTGTTGCTTCTAAGCTTAGAGGTTATTTAAAGAAAAAAAGACCCATCCTACATATTTTGCAGGATATTTAGAAACATAAGAGGAACAATATATGATGCCACTGGGATGGCTACAGTTTCTGTCTCTTACAGTCTGTCAGGCTTAATAAATAAATGAAATAATTTTGATAATAATGATAAATTGAGCTGGTTGTGCAGGAAGGAACTGAAAAGCTTTATCCAAGCCACTTTTTATTCTACTAGTGTCATGGAAAGTGTACTTATGGTGAATGAGCATAATTGTATTTTAATAGTGGAAAAAATAGAAAGGATACATCTAAGGTTGGAAAGAGTAGCACCACACTTGTGATGAAGGACAAAATCAGGACATAAGGAGATGTATTTATTCCCTGCTTGGCCAGTAACCATGACATTGAGGTAACCAAGACGTAACCATGACATTCATACATCACTTACCCCCCCTTGGGGTCTACAGGTTTTGATCAGCAAAAAGAAGTATCTGACCTAAAGAACTATTACATCTCTTTTGGTCCTGATTTTTTTATGTATTCCACAGGAGAGAATATTTCCTGCAGCTTTAGTTACACTGCCAATGTGGAGGCAGTGGTGGACAAGACAGACATGGTTCTGCTCTCACACAGCTTATTGTCCAGTGGGGAAGATAGTAAACAGTAAAGAAGCTGTTATATAAAATAAGTAAAAGGAAATTTAACAAAGAGTGAAAGGAAAAGAAAAAAAAAGAAAACTGGAGTGAATCAGTCTACCAAAGAGACAGAATAGCATATGCAAAGTTCCCACGGTGGGAAAGTGATTGATCTTTTCTTCTTCTAGAAAAGGATGCTCTGGCTGGAAAAGATCCAGGGTGGGGTTAGAATGGTAAGCAGAAGCTACTTCATTTAGGGCCTTTTAGGTCATGGTCAGAAAGGTGGCCATAGTTCCAAGTACAACAAGAAACCATTGATTTTAAGGAGGGCAGGGACATTTTGTGAAAATTTACATTTCAAGACTGTCTTAGCTGCTATGTGGAGAATAATTTGGAGAGGCCAAAGGATAAAGTAAGACTGACCCATTAGTAAATGTCCGTAGAATTTTGGCAAGAGATGATAGACACCTGGACTAGGCTGGTGTCAGTGGGGAGGGATTTAAGATATATTTTGGTTAATAGAAGTTGGTGTATAATTTTATGTCAAGGTTGAGGGGAAGCAAGGACTCAAGAATGACTTCCAGATTTCTGACTTGAGCAGCTGCTGGGTAATGGTGCTAGTTACTAAAATGAGGAAATTTTAGGGGGAATGAGAACAGGTCTGGGTGGAGAAAGTTCCATTTTGAACCTAGCTTGACATGTCACTGAGAGAGGTCATAACCATAGCCCATTGGGAGACCAAAAGGGATGGTCTTCAGAACAGAAGTGAATAGATTGACCTTTAATAGATGAAGTTGATGATCGTGAATTTAAGATGAAACTAATGAGCTCAATTGCTAATTTTTCTTTAGCAACCTTCACCAACTTGGATACAGACAAAGAGAAAATGAAAAGCTGAGTTCTTCTAGGACTAGAGTTTTACCAAGTAGATATGATGGAGGGTAAGAGAATCAAGGATTTTTTCATGGTAGTGACTATTAATATTCATTATGAAATCTAGTCTGGGTTGAAGAGAAACCAGAGCAAGTTGATGGAGAGTTGGAGGACATTAAACAGTTGGATAGGTAAGGATAAACAGATTAGACTTCTTTTGCTATCTAGAGTTATTGGTGTAAATATTTAAACTAAGGAGACAGTGCCTGGAGATACCAGAAAGTGAGTGACTGAGATGGAGCAGAAGCAACAATTCATTGCCTTTGATGAATGAGTCAAGGAAACAAGAGGCTCTCAGGTTGAATGGTTCATCTTCTTGAATGATGAAGTCCTAGAGAAAGGTGACACTGTTAGGGTAGAGAGGACAACTGTGTAATGTACTGGGGCCAGGGTGTGCAGTCATTAAGGAGTAAGCTAGGAGCTGATGAGGACCAGGAGAGGTCCATGGTATCATGAGGTGCCATGAGCCTCAAAGGAGCTAGCAAAGAAGAAATGTTCAGATGTGGGCTTACAAAGTCAAGAATATATGTACCCACTTCATGGAGGCCCTGGAGGATTACATGACCTCTCCAAATGAGCAAGTGTGAATGTTGGAGTCCCTGGAGACAGCCCATTCATTCAGAGTTACTGTCATCCAGTAATTAATATTCTAGATATTTTTGTGTGAAACAAATTAGGTTCTATTTTTTCAAAATAAGCATAACACAATAGCTGCCATTAATCTATAGGAATGTCCAGAAAATGCTTCTAACTAAAAAGCATTGGAAGGCCTTGTAGCTAAGTGTAATCAAATTCTTTACCATGGGGTGATACCTGTGGCTCGGTGAGTAGGGTGCCAGCCCCATATACCAAGGGTGGCGGGTTCAAACCTGGCCCTGGCCAAACTGCAACAAAAAGTAGCTGGGCGTTGTGGCGTGTGCCTGTAGTCCCAGCAACTTGGGAGGTTGAGGCAGGAGAATCACCTAAGCCTAGGAGTTGGAGGCTGCTGTGAGCTGTGACTCCACAGCACTCTACCAAGGGCAATAAAGTGAGACTCTGTTTCTAAAAAAAAAAAAAAAAAAAATTTCTTTACCATGGTAATACACTCCCAAGTATTAAATGCATACATCAAGTCAAATGCCCAATCAAGAAAACAGTGACCTGGCTCGGTGCCTATGGCTCAAGTGGCCAAGGTGCCAGCGACATACACCTAAGGTAATGGGTTCAAATCCAGCCCTGGCCCAACAAACAACAATGATGGCTGCAGACAAAAAATAGCCGGGCATTGTGGCCGATGCCTGTGGTCCCAGCTACTTGGGAGGCTGAGGCAGGAGACTCACTTGAGCCCAGGAGTTGGAAGTTGCTGTGAGCTGTGATGCCTTAGAAGTTGCTGTGAGCTGTGATGCCACAGCAGTCTACCCAGGGGGACAGCTTGAGGCTCTGTCTCAAAAAAAAAGAAAACAGTGACCTTGAAATATCAAGGAACGCTTATGCTACTTAAATTAAAACTTTGAGATTGAGCTCTCAAAGTTGAAATGTTAAATACAAAGTAGTGATATTACCATTATCATGTAGACTTAGAAACTAAAGAATTTCAGTGTTAGAAAGGACCACAATAGTCAAATTCAAACTCTTTGTTTTCCATTTAATGAAGGAGTTTGAGACAGAGAATCAAGATGATTTCAGAAGCCTAGTCCTGCCCTTTTGCCTTGGATACCACAAAAACAAAACTTTCTGTAAATGACATAGTTTTACCAATTATTTAATCTGGATTACCAGTGAATAACATCAAATGAAAAGGTAGAGAGACTGCAACTTTGTTAGTCAAAGTGTGGCCTGTGGACCATTTCCAGGCATCACCTTGAGAAATGCAGATGTCTTGTCTCACCCCAGACCCTGGGAATCTGAATGTGCTTTTTAACAAGATCCCCAGGTGATCGTGTTTGCATGAAAGTTTGGCAAATACCATTCTAGCAAGTCAGTGTACTTGCAACTTCTAGTCTCCCTGGGTCAGCAGGACCTATGATGCCTGGAGAACTGAGGAAGGGAGCCCCTTGTGGGACAGAAGCGGCTACCATCATCAGAACATTCTGAATTTTGAATATTGTGAAACAACAGGAACAAAGTGTGCTGTGCAGTGGGATGACACATTTTAAGGAATGGATTGCCCTTCCCAGAAAGTGAAGGGAGGAAATTGCAAAATAGTGTGTGGGCCTTGGGATAATGCTGTTGCCTGGGTGGGAAAAGGGAAAGGACTCATGCATATTCTTCAGCCTCCTGTATTCAAGGGTAGTTGTTATTCTTTCACTAGTGCAATTTTTCATTATTACAAACAACAGTGTAAAAATGGACATAAATGAGGATCAAAAAAACGTATCTACTATCTGCAAATACCAAAATAAGTAGAGTATTAGATTGAATCCTGAATCTTTTAGTAGAGTTATCCTCAATTTTG